GAGGGGGGGGGAGCACATGGATGTTCGGAGTCGGGGGATGACGGCGACGACCGCAGATGGTTAGCATGCATGGACGCGTTTCGCCACGCGAGGGCCCCTTCGTAGATTGTGTTCCTGTTTCGCCCCGCTGCAGGCGCGCAGTGTCTCGTCTCCCGCCGGCACTTGGTAGCTGTTAACCGACCTCTGACAGAGGTTGGCTTTGTAGGGTATTTGAAGGTGCATTGTGAAGTCAATGCGATGGTTGGTCTGCGCCAGAAACGACGAGCGGCGCCTTCTATTGTTGTATTTTGAAAACGACAGTCCGATGTCGATAGGGTTTTGCGAGTGTGTTCATTGGACGGAGTCTAGCAATGGAACGGTGTGTCCCGTTGGAATGTGACGATGCGTTTCCTCAAATCTCTCTTTCTCATGATTGGTGTGAATGTCGTTTTCTTCATGCTGATTGGTTTTTTGTTTGGAATGGTCGTTGTTTGCCACTGCGATGGCAAGGATGATCATCTGCGAGTGTGTTAATTCGACGGAGCCCAGCAATTGAATGGTGTGTCCCGTTGGAATATGACGATGCGTTTCCTCAAATCTCACTTTCTCCTGTTTGGTGTGAATGTCCTTTTCTTCGTGCTGATTGGGTGATTGTTTGGAATGGTCGTCGGTTGCCAATGGGATGATACGTATGATCAGCTCACCTCAGAACGAACAGCTTTGCCGGCAAGCCGATGAACTGATCAAATGATAGGTTGATCGGTTGATCGGTTGCCCACCAGACTCGTCCAAGCTAGGGTGTGATGCTCCGCGAGGTCGGGCATTGCTGGTGGACTGGGTTTCAGTTTGTTGATGAAAGCGCACTGTAAACTGCGCAAAAAAAAAACACATTCACGCTTCAGTCCTCCTGAGGAGACAACAGATCAATGGAAGGCGCACACATCGCCCCTAACATACAAACCGCAACACTAAGAAAAAAAAAAAAAAAAAAAAAAAAAAACAATGAAACGAAAAAAAGCGAAAGAGGACAAAACGACATTTGGATTGCAATCACATACACAAAACCACAACATCTTCACACAGCACCGATAAACGCACACACCCAGCCGAAACTCCAGTCCACGGTACACATTTGAAAAAAGGAGAACAATAACGAGTCACCTCCGGACAGATTACCCCGCCGACAGACACCGTCTTCTTCGAAAATGAAATCGCGCAGCTGCGCGCACTCACTCACAACTAACCGCATCACCGGGCGTTAACAACCTACTACAAAATGTTTAACAAAAAAAAAAAGGAAAAGAACTGCGGATGAACAGCGTCTCAACCGACAGCTCCGCGACACTAGCGATCAATGACAACCCGCACAGAACGTACACAACACCCCAGGGCACGACACACGCCTGCAACAGCTAAATAACACAAAATGTCGCCGTTGCTCACAACACAGAACGACCTCCACAAGGACGGCAGAGCCACGTGCCGTCGACGCGGTGCGCGCCTTCACGCGTGTTTCATCCGCTCCGCCAACGCCTCGCGTAGCGCCAACGCACGGGGCCGATTGAAGTTCTCAGCAATGGGGTGGGGTGGATGATCCAACCCCAAGTCMACTYGCCGCCRCACGCCATTAGCATCGACCTCCCACAGCAAGTTCTCGTCGAACTCCATGCCAGCGTCAAGGAGGATGTTGTGCAGAATGCACACGGCTTGGAACTGTTGTAGGAGAGTGTCCATATTCGTCTTGTGTGTGCGGAGGAACAACCTCCACATCCCTTTCAATCTCCCGAAAGCTCTCTCCACTGCTCCCCTGGCGACCTTTTGCTTGTTGTCGAACCTCTCCTCGTCGGGGATTTGATCGGTCCCCCCGTACGGCACGACAATCCACTCCAGCGGCAGATACCCGTTGTCGCCCAGAATGTAACCGTGTGTCCTCACTCCGAACGGCAGCACAACAGGAGCTCCACGGAAAAGATCCCCCTCCTCCGCACGCGCCCACAGACTGGAGAGCTGAAGCACCCGAATGCCATGGCAGCTCCCTGGGTAACCGACGAAAACGTCCGTGATGCGCAAGTCCAGGTCCACCACCACCTGCGCTACAACGGAGAAACGATGCTTCCGGTTGAAGTAGTTCTCCGAAGGAGCGTTCGCCGGTTTGTCGGCGTAAACGTGCGTGCAGTCTATGCAGCCATAGCAGTTGGGAAAGCCCTTAGCCTCGAATGCACGGAGAACGAGCGTACGACGCATCCCAGTAGGCCAAACGATCTTGTCACTGTACACCCTCAGGAGTGCCCTCGTAACGTCCTCCACTGCAATCAACCCGGATGTGCGCCCTATTCCGAATGACGGCGTGCTGCTCTCGTACGTCTCACCGCTCGCCCATCGGTACAACGCATATGCGATGATGTGATCCGGCTGCAAAGGAACCCTATAGAATGTCACCCGCCGCTGCAGAAGAGGGGACAACGCCTCCACGATCTCCATGAACACCCTGGGGGTCATCCTCAACTTTTCCTTGTAGTACTCGTCCGAGGCGTCGTCCATCTTCCGCAGATCCTCCCACGTGCCACCCGTCCTTCTCCGCATCCACCACCTTGGAGTCGCCCGCGGTATCGCCCCGGATGACATGGCGTCTCAGAACTGGATAATGGATTCGAACATGGACATGCAGTCTGGCACTGCCATCACGTGGTGGAGGAGCTCACGCTGCCTGCGGATAGACACTCTCGTCCTCAACCGCGCCGTCGTTCTCTCGATGCGACATCGCATGGCCACCGCCGACACTGCTGCAACCACCCCATTTCTCTCCACCCTGCTCAAGGTCTAGCCACGAACCTCCTGCGACACGTGTTCCATCACGATGCCCCGACGGCGCCTTGTTGAACACACACAACAGACGGACGACTGGACCCTCGTCACACACTGTCCCAGCGGACATTGGAGTGGTCGAGGGCAGCTCCTCGTACACGAATGACGGGCGCGTGAAGCTATGGCGAGCCATCGGATCGCCGTCGTCTGCAGGAAGACGAAGGCGGGACACACACCACTTCACGCGCTCCAACGTCGTCACCTTTCGCGCGGCGCCGGCTGACGATCGGATGAACGAGTCGCCAACAGCGATGGGCGCCGCAAATCGTCCGCGCACACGTTTCGCACACTGGTAGCTCCAGGGGTGGTGACGCCACAGCGCGCCTTTACCTCGGGTGACGGTTTGAAATTCGAATTTCGAAAAGGAACCTTCACGCCTCTTTTCGCGGCGCAGCATCGCGGGCCTCCTTGCGCTGCCAGTGGACCACGCCCGACGACGGACGGACATCCCTCGACGACGACGGACATCCTCTCCCGCGGCCTCGCATATGCGTATAAATTGGCCGCGGGATACCTCCAAGGTTTTTCCTTGGGACCCTTTCGTTTAGGACGCGGTGTAACGACGCCGCTGAATTCCTTGAAATTTTCCAAGGACTTCGTCCTAATTCCTAAGGATTTTTCAAGGAGGGTCTAACGAGGCCCTCAGCCCTGCATTTCTCAGGTTTATCGGCCTCCCCCTGGTTGCAGACTGTGGAGGATGCCTGACAGTGTCTGTTCTGTCTTCACATGTTTGACCTCATTGTCCCCTTCCTCTCACTTCCTATTTCTTTAAACGGGCTTGCCTGTCGGTATCTTCTTTGACATTTTGAGTGTTTATTTATGTGATTCCCGCCAGAGAAACCTGGAAACAGAACGTCAACTTGAAGATGAAAAATATAAAACAAGTACTATTCGAACAGCAAAGTTCTGACAAACCAAAAGAGTCCAAAAACGTAATGAAAGTAGCATAATCAAGGCACAATGCCAAAGCACCCTCTGTTTTCTTGAAGAGCCATGTTAGCAAATGACCAATGAGCATTGAGCACATCCCTTTCTTTTTTATTTTGATCTTAAAGTTTTTTCAAAAAAAAAAATCCCTGAGGTATTGTAGTGTTCACGTTCAGCATAGCAGTTTGTAGCCAAAGCCAAAACCCTTGAGGCATCATTCAAGCTGTCGAAAGCGGTGTTAATCCACCGCCGTGACAGTCCGGGAGCGAAACTCCGATGATCAGGACAAAGGACAGCTGGAGGCAAGAGGAATTACATACAGAAGAAGGTGAAAAGAAGGAGGAGGAGGGGAACCACGCGACAAGAGAGTACACTGTACAGTAAAAACGAGAGGCGCCTTTTTAACTTCTTGCAGAGCTGCAACAATATAGGAGCAACTAACAGTCATAACAGTCATTTCTCGGCACCTGGCGCTCTTCAGGTCAGCGAACAGGAAAATTGGAACAGCCACACTGTGTTCTGCCTGCCATTTGCGTCCCCGTGACTGCAGGAACTAGCAATGTCTAGCATCCTTACTTTGCTCATCTTAAATCTTACTCCATTCAATACTCTCTATCAACTTGCTTGCAAATCTCGTGTAGTCTAGGACTTGCTAATGAATGGTCCTCGCAGATAAATGGCAGTTGGTAACTGCAGCAGTGCAGCTGACCTAGACAAGTGTCCCATCGTGATGAAAGTACCATTTACACTACTACACTTTGGTGCTGCTATCCCGGTGGTGCTTCTTGCTTTGCTTCGTGTGCTTCGCTGTTCTTGAGTGCAGCTGGCACTACCAGTGGATAGCGTGGCAACACCACAGTGCCACCCGATAATCCAGCTGTTCTGTCATGCAACCCACTCACAGACGGTCCGGCCCGGTTGGTTTTGAAACAGATTAGACTTAATTTTACTTTTCAGGAAGCAGCAGTACTTGCCACTTGGCC